GGTATTCAAGATCGGACCCACCTATCCGCTCCGTACGGTAACTGAAGGCCTCTGCAAATCGATGGGATCGAATATACACCCTTCGAGCACCCACTAAAACATCTGTGACGCGCTCTTTGTCTCCAATAGCATGAAGCATGTGAGCACTGGAAGCGGGGCCAGATAGCTTTACCGCAAATATACCAGCATCTGTGCAAGACACGAATTCATAGCACATGGGTGGAATGGAACGGAGCTGAAACGGCCCGCCGCGAATGAATTTGGTGCCAGGCAATGATATCAACCTGCAAGGAATTATAATTGAGCCTGGATGGCGAGAGGACGGTAAGCATGTCTCCAGCGCGGGGATGTCATACAAAAGGATGTCATTTTCATCGAGGAGGAGAATCCGATCATGGCTCAAAAGTTGTAAACGATTCTACAACGAATGTTAGTCCCGTTCGGAGAACATCGAACGAGTCACTCACGCATCTTTCATTGATGACAGCTTTACGGTGCTCTTGCAAATTTGACGCAGTCCAGTCGTAGATCTCCACGCAAGTGCCTACTTCGGCGTAGATGAGCCCCCTAGCGTATCGACCACCGCATAAGGATGCAGAACTGTATGATGTTAAGATCCCAGGAGGCGTGAATGATGTGAGATGCACGGGTTGAAGATGAGCATCAGCACCGTGACCATTCAGTGTTACTCTCCATATGTGTGTCCATAGAGGGGGTTCTTCGGGGAAATAGCCATAGCCTGTAAGTGGCACCAGTGCATTATTATAAACCGTTCCCGAGCATAAAATCTGGCATATGACCATACCTAGAAGATCTTGACTTATCGCCAAGTTGAAAGTTAGTGTCGGCGCGGTTGTCAGAATGTCAACAATTAGAGCGGTTGTTCGCAGATTTTCGTGCGCGTCCGCGTATCGAGGAATGAGGACCTTCCCTTCATCTCTTGGATCATCTAAGTCGTATACCATGACGATACCAAAGGCACTCGCAAGGAGCCATCGCCCGCCGTCCACCAGATGAGTCCTGGCCAAATCCGCCTTCTTGAAGGGTATGATGCGCATTGAAACTGGATCCTCGGTGGCTGACTGCCAACCAGCATCAACAGAGCCGCGTTGTAACACCATCCTTTCCAGTTCAGAGGACGAATAACGTTCTAACGGGCTTTCCAGGGCCGGCGTACTTGGATTGAGAGATGTAAAAGCAGCATGCTGCTCACGCCAGACTGAGAGAGACCTAGAGACCGAGGCGAGACGTTTGCAAGACTGTATAATAACAATGTGTATATTGAGGATGAATTCGTAGCTGAATAAAGTATAGCAGGACTCACAGCTCGTGCGTGCAAGACGCTTTTCCAATCAGTAAGCTGCAAGATGTTCTCGATCACTTCCGTTGGTAGCTGGGTTAAATGACATGTTGGACACGATAGAACGCGTAAGGTTCGCAGGAGAGCAACTGCAGCTAGTGAGAAAGTGTGTGGATTATACAGACTGAAGTACTGACCAAATCCCAACGAAAGCCGAGTACCCCACAGTGCGAGTCTGCGAATAATGGTGAACTGCCGGAGTATTTGGCTCCATTTCCAGCTGGTTAGTACGTGGAGTAGACTCGTGACCAGTCTCAGTATGTAGAAACTGACGATACTGAGACTGGTACAATGGGGGCAATAAAGTGGCAACGCGCGAATATTATTCAGGGCCGGTCAGAATCGTTGCGTCACCGGCCGGCCCTAAGCTTGCTCCGAGTACTTCCTCTGTCGATAGGGCTCTCAAAGGGAGCACCCATGCAGTTATTAGCCAGTAAATGATTATTATCCTGACTAGAGTAGTGAACATCCTGATGAGAGGAAAAATACCGCTGAAAATCCCTCAAGCCATCATCGTACAGCTTCCCAAGAAAGTCTGACAGGCGCAAGAGCACTGCACATCCAGATCCTGCTCGATCGAGTTCAAAAAAGGGGCAGACCCCCATAGCACTCTCTTCTCCAGGAATGACGAAAAATCTGAGGTTTATAGTGTCTGAGAAGGCTAGAAGAACGTCCGGGGCGAAGGGGGGGGTGTCGAAATGGTGCAGGTGAGTTTAGGGCCGGCTGTGAAACACAGATTCCGACCGGCCCTGAACATTATCCGCGCGTTGCCACTTTATTGCCCCCATTTTACCAGTCTTAGTATCGTCAGATTTATCTACATGCTAAGAGTGGTTACGAGTCTATACGTGGAGCCAGTATGCTAGGTCGGCCATGCGCCGATGCAACATTTGGAGTTACACGGCGGCAACGAAAAGAATAGTTGTAGCCTGAGAGTCCTCTAGCGTCTACTACTAAGTAGTGTAGTTTGTCACTGTCACGGACGCGTTCGTGACGGCGAGACACGCAAAGGTTGCCCGCAAGTTCCCGGCCGGCTTGACAAGTTGCATGACAGCTTATGACAGGCGCCAATATTAATGGCTGTCATGGGCCAACTTTTGCCTCTGACCAACGCCTGACTCCTCTTGACTCATCGCAGGATGTTTTCGAAATAACGCGTTTGTTACATAACCGGTTCACTACCGGAAAAAATTAGCAGGTGAGCGTTACCATCATCGTCTTTTCTATCATCTCTGAGTCCTACAACTATGAACTCAAGTACTAGCTCAGAGTCACAGTCCGGCGAGACGACGCCCTTACTGCTTGCACGGCACTCAGATGACTCTAGAAACAATCAGACAAAGAAAATCACTCCTCTGCCTAAGCCGCAGCTGGCAGGTACGCTTCTGTTCCAATTTCGGATATGGGGTGAAGGCTGACTCGGACTCATCCAGTTGTGACCTGTATCAGACTCGCCGAACCGATTGCTTATAGCCAGATATTCCCGTATATCAATGAATTCATCAGTACACTGCATGTCACCGAAGATCCTAAGCAAATCGGTTTCTACAGTGGGGTAGTGGTACGTCGGAGTCTCATTCGTGTCAAAATGGTCTGCTCATTGTGGGCAGGAAAGTATCTTTGCATTGTCTACACTTGGGACCACGTATTACTTCGCCAGGCTTTCTGGTGAGTCAATTTCGCAGTAGCTGTGCCAAGGTAATTGCCACGTTGCCTTTGAACAGATCGGGTCGGACGACGCCCTATCATACTGGGCGCAAACCTTGGATGCGCAATAGCCACGTTCTGCTTTGGGCTCAGCACCAGCCTTCGAGGGATGTTAATATCTCGCGCAGTGGCGGGGGTGTTCTCTGGAGGTTCACCTGTTAATCACGCTGTCATCAGCGAACTGACAGACTCGACAAATTTTGGGTTGGCTCTGCCCATATACAGTTTGGCCTGGCCAACAGGGCTTATCCTTGGGTATGCCTTGTAAATTTTGCGTTCCACCCCTTTGATTTGATCATCGTCACAGACCCATGTTAGGAGGTAGTCTGGCCCACCCTGCGGAAAAGATGCCTTGGCTCGACTTCGATTTCCTGCGCCGCTACCCCTTCTTTCTTCCGG